ATATATATATAAGCGTGTTTATCAATTTACATCTCTTTTCATACTCAAGGTATGCCTCATTAAAATCTCTTCAACCAAAACCCTTATTTTTCAATACTTGGGAAAAAAGACTGAAGTGGGAAAAAGAGTACATTACCTAAGTTTACATATTTAGCTATAATAAAATTTCAAGTGAGTAGCATTCCAAGTTCTTGGTAGAACTTTACCACCAAACTCGGCATTTATTGGGTTGTTCACCCGCAGAGGTAAAGATATCAAATCTACATGGTTAGCCGCTTCAAGAATATTGACGCGCGATGCATTTAATGGGGTATAGAAATCATACCTTAGACCTCGTACATGATGAGATCTTTTAAGCCTGTAATCGGTGTGTGGTTTTGCCTTATCTTTGGTGCTTGACTCCTCCTTGGGATTCATGTTGTTTCAAACTTGGTTCCTGAATTCGGCATGTTCCTCCGTCTGGAGGTATCCGACAGCACGTGCCCTGAGTTTGGTCATGTCGGCTGGCTGGCGTCGGCAAAGGTCTACTTGTAGTGTATTGGGCTGTGAATAGACGAACCAATGTGGAAGCACGAAAAGAGTAAATAAATCACCGCAAAATCAAAAGAAAATCATTATATTTACTTGAGCAAGTCACTGGTGCGATGCGATCTAAAAGGTGACGTTGGAACGATCTTAAGAGGTGACGGAGGAATGAGTTTCTCTACGTGGTAGATTTGTATGCAGTGCGGTGCGGTGGGTTTCTCGTGTTTCTCTAAGCAGTGGGTACGATGCGTTTCATAAGCAGTGGGTACGGTGCGGTGGATTTCTCGTGTTTCATACTGTACACAACATGCTGTGTGTGGGTTTCTTGTGGGTGCGATAGATAATTAGTTGAATTTTAATTTTTTTAGTTTTTAAATTAATAAAAAAAACTAAATAAATAAATTAAATTAAATATATTTTCTTGCTAATTTAATTTATAAGAAAAATTACAGAAAATATATTTTGACATTACTTAAAAATTTAACATTTCTTGCAAATTTATATTCTAAATAAAATTTGAAGGAAATTCCTGCAATTTTTTCTAGAAATTTTTATTGGCAAAAAAATTCATAAAGTTAATAATTTTGGTAGAAAATTTTGTAAAAATTTTCTGCGAACTCAAAGTCACAAAAATACTCATAACAATTTCTTGAAAAAAAATTTTTGGTAGAAATTTTCGTAGCAATTTCATGCAAATATTTTTTTGCATAAAATTTTGTAAGAAAATACTATATTTCGTAGTGTCTTAAACGGATCATAAAATATGGTATTGACCAAGCTTTCTATATATACAAACCGTATTTGCATCTCGTTATTTGCAATAAGGGCTATTAAGATCGGATCATCGTGATATAGAAACATCGGGCCTAGGTAAAGCACAAATATTTGTCCGTTTCCTTACTATTTTATTCTTCAAATTTCTCTAATCCGTCACTAACATTTGTTGCAACCGATCACAATAGGACGGCGAATATAAAATTTAAAATAATAAAATCGTCATTAATATTTATTTTTATAAAGAAAAGTTAAAAAAACCGCAAAGTAGAAAAACAGTCTATAAAATCAAATTTTCGAGTTAGAGAGTCGATTAAGTGTAAGAAATGGATTAGTACCTCATAACGTTTATCCTAAGACGATTACCTTTAATTAATTAAAAAAATTATTTATAATTTATAAAATATTTATCTCACTCTAGATTAATTAAAATTAACTATAACAATCAAATATATTTTATTTAACTAATGCAATTATTTTATAAAAATCAAAATTATTATATAAAAAAGATAATATTATTATTTTTTGACTCGACAAGATTTATTTCCTGCTCCTATGTATCTCCATATGCAATGGAGAATCAGTCACGTAATTTTTTATAAAAAAAAATATTTGTGTGTTGATATATTTTTAATTAAATTTTAATTTTTATTAAATTCAAGATTTTTGAACTGTCTCAGCTCATTCACCTTAAAATATAAAGTTAACTGAGGTGTACACCAAAGTCAATTCAATAAAATACTTAATTTTAATTATAATTATTATTATCGATATTATTGTTACTACAGTACAATATATACTTAAAAAGATTTTTTTGTTGGATATTTTTATTTTGGAGAAAAATTTAAAAATATCAAGTTGTTACAACTTGTATCTGAAATTCAAAGGTTTAAAAAGATGTCACATCTAATTAACCATTTCTCAAATAAAATATTTGATATAATAACTTTGAATATTTATGTTGAATATTGTAGTAATATTTTTTGATATTTCATTATATTTTAAATAAAAGGACTTTAAGATAACAAATTGACACAACTTGCACCTTTAAGCCCTAGAATCAAGAGAATGTCACATTCAAATAATCTATTTTTTAAAACGATAGATATCATTAATATAAATGTTGATAAGGAATCCTATAATAATTATTATTATCATTATTATTATTATTATTATAATAGTAACTATTATTATATTTATTATTATTATTATTATTATAATAGTAACTGTTCCAGTATGCCTAAAAGTCCTACATCGATTAGGAGTCGAGGCTAAGGGTAGTTTATAAACACCCTCATTTCTTAACCCATTAAGGCGCCTTTTAAAGGACAAAACCGTGACGGCCCAACGAGTGTCAAAGCAGACAATACCTCGGATGTGGTGACCCTAACGATGATAGCGGGCTTATGGTAGGAACATTTGGCGCTAGAAGGAGGACCTAGGCCACTCTTGCCCCTTAGCATCAACTGGGGGGCTTGTTCTGGTATGCCTAAAAGTCTCAAATCGATTAGGAGTCGAGGCTAAGAGTAATTTATAAACACCCTCCTTCCTTAACCCACCAAGACACCTTTTAAAGGACAAAATCGTGATGGCCCAACAAATGCTAAAGCGGATAATACCTTGGATGTGATGATCCTAACGATGATAACGAACTTACGATAGGAACAGTAACTATTATTAATTATTATTATTATTATGATTATTATGATTATTATCAAACCTACTAAACATTTTAAAGTTACGTAACAACCTAATATATAAAATTATGTAAGAATCTAATATATATATATATATATATTATTCACGTATACTACCTTTTATATAAACATATATAATATTATTATAATTATAACTATAGAATATATTATTTTAGTAAAATATATTATCACAGGAAAAAGGAAAAGAAAGAAAAAAATAAATATGATATTAAGGCTTGAAAAAAAAAAACTGTTTGTTGAATGGGATTAGCCCATATGCTTGACCCAAATTGGAAAGAAAATGAAACCCTAAAAATTGAAAGGAATGAGATCTGAAAGGAGTGGGGGAGGGGCTCTGCTAGGGTTTTGCGCACGACCTCCCTCCCTTAACATCGACGGTGCGGCGGACCGCTGCTATGGCGTCGTCATGGCCAAGGTGGTTGGTCATTCATGCAGAGGGAAGGAGAAGACGACTAAAGAGAGAAACAGAGGAAAGTAGACGGTTATTGCTGCCACCGAAAATCATTTTCGACGGTGGTGCACGGTGGCGTTTATGATGGTTCGTCACGGTCGTGCATGGTAAGGGTCCACGAAAGAGGCTAAAGGCTGACGATGCCGCCACCAGAAATCGCCTCCGACGGTGGCACGTGGCAATGCACGACGATACTCACGGTGGCCAGAAATCGCCTTCGACAGCGGTGCATGATGGTGTTCACGGGAAGCACCGTTGCATTCCTTGGTACTGTTCATTAGCCTTTTTTATTTTATTTTCATCTATTTTTCTATTGTGACTGGGTTTTTATTTGTTAAATGCTTTACTGAGGTTTGAGAATGAGGGTTTCAATTCCATGGTAAAAAATTCACTAAAAAAAAATTGTTTTACTAATTAGAAATTAATTTGCATTCTATATCATAACAACAACATCACACTTAATACAATCGAAGAGAGTAATTGATACCCGCACTACTTTAGCCTCTTCTTTTGCCTTTTGCTTGACTTCTCCCTGTTTGAAATTTGGTTGTTATCCTTGGTTCTCTCTATTTGAAATAATTTCTTCCCCGCTCCTTCCCCTTTGTTCATGTTATGTTCTATTATTTATAGACTCAGAGGAAGATATTATTTCCCTCTTCCTTTGTCTTTTTTTGATTTTATTTTTTATTATTATTATTATTGTATATATTTTTATTTAAGTTAAAATCTGCTTTGTAAATTACTTGTTATTAAATAATTAATTTAGAAATTTTGAGAAAGAAATTAGTAAAAGGATTAATGGAATAAAATTGGTGTTTACAACATTCTCATTAACAATTTAATATTCAATTTTAACATAATAACAACCTAGTAAAGTAGAAAAAAAATCAAAATATTCTTTTCCTATAGCATGTCACCCTTCTATCGACAAAGTATTTATTATAAAATTATTAATTTTTTTAAAAATATAATATAAAAGAAACTTTGTTATTTATTAATGTAAAATAGTTCACATGTCTTAAATAAAAATCAAATATAAATTCATTAGCGGAAGCACAAATTAGCAATTACGAAACCTCAAGATAATAAATATAATAAAACCACACTAAGTCATAAAAAAAAGATAAACATAACATCCTATAACTTCAATGTTACGCTATCAAAGCAAGACCCATAAACAAAATCGAAGCATCAAGCATCTCTTTTCTATTGCTCAGTCTTATATAGGAATATTAAGCATCTTCACTTTATTGCCCCGCAACTTTGACAAGAATACCTGGTTTAATTAGATATGGGTATAGGCTTAAGTAATACCCAATTTATTAAGTCGGGCACGAGGATAGCCGCACTTGTTCCTGTCCCCGCTTTAAATTTCTAAAATCTTAATTTATTTGTTTTTAGAATTTACTTGAGATTTATGTAATTCTTACTCTATTTTAAATTTATGTAAAATAAAACTAATTAATGTAATTTTGTAATTTCTACTCTATGTTGAAATTCTTGCTTTTTTATATTATCTTGCAAAAAGAAAATAATTTTTGAGAAAGTACGAGATGAGTACATGTGTATACCTGATACTTGACAGGGACGAAGATGAGACACAAATTTCATATCTATCGGGTATGGGGATGGGGATGTGGATGAGGATATTAAAACCCACACCCGCCCCATCTCGTTCCTTAGTCTCATATACTTGATTAGTTCCTTTATGATGTTCAACTCAAACAAGAAAAACAACAAAGTAGACACAAGAGGAGTATAAATATATTTCACACATGTACAACACTTATAAGGCATATGCATGCTAACAAATCACACAATCACAACTCATACAAATACTAGTCATACACATTAAACTCAAAATCATATACACCACGATTGAATGACTCATGCAACTCATACCCCTAACTCTACATGCATGTGACACTAACCTCCAATATCACCAAAAGGTGCTCTAATACACGACAACCTAGGAGCACATGGATTGGATCACCACACACCAGGTAAGCTTCTCAATCCACACTCTTCTAGGGGAGATCAATCATGATCTTGTAGGAACATTATAGTCAATCGTGATCACCTCTCATACTTGTCAAAGGTTCCTTACCATAACTCCCCTAAGATCAAGATAGAAGCGAAAAGAAGCCTCCTACATAGATTCACACCGCCTCTCAAAGAATTTATTCATGAATGCATGGACACCCATACAACATTATCAAATACAACAAAATGCAATGTTTAATGCAACATCATGAACTTCTCAAACCTCTATGTTTGGACTACTCCACAAGATACCAAGCCTGTGCTTGTATTTCATTACTGTCGAGCTTTTTCTTAGACTTACTCATTTCATCATCATCATTTCCTTTTTTACTCTTACATCATTCTTGCTTTTCCTCTTTAATTACTCAATTATGGTTGTACTCTATATCTTCTCACATTTTCTCAAAATATGGTTATTATATTCTATACTATCATTCTTCATTGTCATCACTCCTATTTCTTTCTTTTTAATTCATTAACCATGGTTATTAAGTATTTTATATTTTTTTCAATTTTTAATTATATCACACCCTCACTAGCTCCTTTGCTAATTATAACCCTTAAAGACACACCTTTTTTCTCATCAACAATGTTTCCCCCAATGAGGCAAGGCTCGTGCCCAATGTAGAGAGGCCAAGGACCTTTTTTCATTGCATTTGCACTCGACATGGCTATTTCGACACCCAACACTAAGGGAATAGGGACCCTTTTAGTGCTCTTACACTTGACGTGATGTGATCTTAGTCATCTCCAACATCATCCCCTTGTTAAAATGGCATTACATCATGCCAAGACATTCCTTGCTCAGTGTTGAGAAGTTAGAGATCTCAATAGGGCTCCTACGCCCAAAGTGAAGAACCTCACTCACCATGCCTGATGCATTAAAAGAACGCTTAACGCTATCGTAGATCTTGTACTTTGTAGATTGCGACTTACGATTCCTTAACCCTCTGAAATACATCTTTATTAACACTCTAGAACCTTAAATCAATTAGTACAACCATCTCAATACATCTTAAAAATAATATTCATAAAACATCAATTTACTCCAACGCAATCAATTCATATCAAGCCCCTAAATCTTATCAACACAGAAATAATTATAAGTCCTTCGAAGGCTTAGGGGTCGCCTCATTGCCCATTTACTCATGTTTTCCCATAGTGAGACATTCTAACTCACCCTCTTACCTCATGTGATGATCTTTGAGACATAGCCATGCTCCTCTACTACCTTTATATCTATTATGCATGCTCCTCGAAGTTCTCATCTAGGGTTTTCTCTTCAAGCACTCTTAGGGTCCAAATATGATGTGAAAAATTGACCTAACTTCCTTCCTCTTATTTTAATAAGACTTTGGATTGGCCTCAAGAGTCTAACCCTAAGATTCCTCTCTAACCCACCATTTACTCTTATTTTATTTTTAAAAATTAATTATTTATATTATAAACTTAATTAAATAACTTAATTAAGTCCATACTATATTATTTAAACAACTATATTTTATTTATTTATTTTTAAAATCAGGATGTTACATATACTAGTAGAAAAAAAGGCACTTCGTACCTCAATGGAAAAAAGTACCTCATTGAGTAGTTATTATTTGACTTAAATATGTTTTTTGTCCATCAAATTGAAAATTGGTATTTTTAGTACCTGTAATTTCAAAAAAATCTTATTTTAGTCCGTATACTTAAATTTTGTTTAAGAATCTGTCAACTATCGTCGTATAAAATCTCCTTACTAATGTTTTTGTTAGTGAAAATATCAAATTTAATCTATCTCATGATATATAATTGTCTCAATCTATCACTTTAAGATATATTATTGGTGACCTAAGGTACTAAAATAAGATTTTTAAAAATTACATGGACTGAAAATAATAGTTTTAAATTTGAGGGACTAAAAACAAATTTATCCTAAATTTGATGGACTAAAAACACATATATTTAAGCCTTATATTTTTAAATAAAGAAATTATTATTTTTTATATACATTTGTCCTATTTCATCCTTAAAAGATGTATTGGTGAAAAAAAAGTTAAAATACAACATAGGGATATAAACATCTTTTTGAAAAGTTGACACCAAAAGGTGTATGATATCTCCTTTATATAATGTTATAGATAAATTAGAATAACTATTTTTAACGAGAGTGTTTTATGAATTATTCTTCAATGATTTTAGGAGTTTTAGTACTTTTAGAAGAAAAAAATTGACCTCTTATCTCATTTAATATATCTTTTTCATATTTATTTCTAAATTTATCAATTTCAAATTATAATTTATTAAAAATAAGCTTATATCTAAAAATATAAATTAATTATTTCATATATCTAAAATATAATGTATGTTAAAAATATTTATTTATTATGAATTCAAATTATAATGAAATTTTAATTTTAATTATACTTAAAAATATTTATTTAATATAAATTTTAATTATTGAAAATAAACATTTGTATAAACATTACATATATGAAAGTACTATCATAACTTGAAGTGGAAACTCTTATCACTTTCACAATGAACTTGGGCGTGTGGGTTTAACTCAGTGACATGTTTGGTTGATTCGCTGATGGTCGGAGCATTGATATCTATGGCCAATTTGGTCCACACTATTTTACTTTCGTGGACTAAAGGTGCTCTTGGTGGCATTTTCACGCTTACTTTGGTTTTTTAATATATATATATATAGAGAAGAAATTCACTTACTCCACTCGATAATTAAGTCTACAATATTTTAAAAAATTTGAAAACTCTCTAAAAAAATTAAAAATTATTTGATACTCTATTTTATTAACTCAAATTCAATGGTTGAATCACTAAAATTTGATATGAAACATGAATTATTGAGTAGAGCAAAATTAGGTAGATTTACTTTTGGAGTAAGTTCTCTTTTCATATACACACGCACACATACATTCATTACTCCTTTTTCCTCCTAAAATACTTTAATTTTATTTTTATTCTTTATTTTTCAAACTTTCCAAAATAATAAATTTAATACTTTCAAAAAAATACTTTTCAAAATAATAATTGAATATACTTAAATGTATTTTTCTAAAGTATGTTTTTTAATACTTTTGGAAAGTATTTTTTGAAATAGTAAATATAATGCTCTTGAATGAACTTTCTAGAAGTATTTCTTTTATACTTTCGGTACTTTTTACAATAGTAAATTTAATATTTTGAAAAGTACTTTGTAGAGTTATGAAGAAAACATA